CACAAGTCAACCGTAATTATAAATTGATTCACATGCAACTTATCGTCTTTGTGCACACCAAACAGTGCGGCACACGATCGACATCATGGTTCGCACTAGTCGAACTACTGGTCATGTCGTGAGTACCTGGGTAACTAGATCGTTGGCCGGCCATGCGTGAATGTGTTATCACTTTTTCAATACTGTCTGTTTTTCTGCATGTTTATGATGCGATTGGAGTTCGCTGGAGAGATGGGAGATTTACCATTCTCTACTCAGGGAGGCTCCGACCTGCTACTGAGCTAATCCTATCGACAAGTCTTATATAGCGTCGGTTCATAAATGTCTTTGGGAGCTAAAAGTCGAACACCTTTGTCGACGTCTTTTCATTATGCATATGTTTTACATAGAACCTCTCATGAAATAGACCGGCGGTCAGAAATTTGTGAAAGCTTGTCAAAATCTGAGATGTTTTATCCATTTAGACGGACATTTTTACTTGCCTTCCTAAATGTGTGGATGACAATGTGTAGAATCATGGTAATTTATGCACAGTTTCAGATTAGCCTACATTTCCTCCGATGGACTGAAGAATTACATTTAATGGTTACTGGAAAACGCCAAGTAGTTTGAATTTAGCAGTTTTCGACTATACACCGCATGCTCTTTACCCATGCTTAGTAAGTGCAATTTCGACGCGTTAAATATACATCTTATATTTAACCGTGGTGGCAATAAAGTCACTCATGACATCTTAGAGATAAATATTGGTCTTATATTCTAACTGGGAGATATGTTCAACGAAAGTATTCACGATACTACAATTTAAGAACCAGTGCCGTTCGCTTAAATTTCAGTCTAAACATTCATTTCCCTTTAAAAACTTGCGTCTTGCTCTGGCAATGGCGGCGTCGTCAATTAGCACAAATAAACGATTGCGTCAACTCGCATAACTGCTTTGGACGACTTAGCTTGTTTCGCATGGATGCCCTAGAAACGAGCAATAACATTAAACGATAAAGTACAAGGACTTTAAATAAACCATTTATAAAACGATTCGGAGGGATGAAACAAAATAAAAAAATAGGGAAAGGAAAAATCGCCACCCACTTATTCTGCAAAACGTGTTTATAAAGACGATAAAGGAAATCGAAATAGCATGCAATACTTAAGAAATATGAACCACGACTTGCTTTTGAGGGCCGCGGGAAAACTTCTAACAGTACCTTGATTCAGCCTATGCTTTCTCAGATACACAACAGCATATTTCGGAACTGCTTTATATGCAGCCTGCGCAATGTGTCTGTTCAAATAAAACCACCGATTAACAATGCGCCATTGTGCCAAAACCTCCCTGGATGTCTTATTCATGTAAAACAGAAACTGCAGGGTCGCAAGCTAGTATGTAAACCTTGCTCGGCCGTTGTGTGGGTAATCATTTTAGACAAGGCCCGACGGCGCGTGCCGTTATAAACACTTCACCCTTTAGACTCTGATCAGTTGAGGAGTGTCAGCGTTCTGCACGAATTTATCTCCCATAAAATCAGAGACAGGCACTTTTCGTTCAAACTGGGAAATAGCACACATTTAATCACTTTGGATGAACAGTAGTAGTCTATGAGACTTATGTATTCTCATACTGTACTGCGTGTCCGAAGTGAGACAGCTCCTACTTGATCTCAAAGGAATTTGTGAAGAAAACTTCATTTTGGTTTCAAGACTTAAAGCACTGGGGAAAATAAGGAAATTACCAGTCAAAAACCACAATGTCATTGAACTCGCACGGTTTAGGCAACTAAGCTGACAGAGAGCCAGTCTTACATGCTAAACCTGCATTGAAAACAGATCTCATTATAAACAGTACATAACGCAGGTGATTTATTAAAATCAATTGTTAATATCCTTTCCGATATGCCTCAGTTTGAGTCTCTGCAACTTAAAAAATTTACTGTGGTAGAGCGCTTTGTGACAAATAACAGTTGTATGATTACAATCGTAGGTTTTGCAGCTTAATTTCGCACAAAACGGCAGTTACAGAGCCGCAAACCAGTGTGCATGAAGCAAGAATCGGCCAATAAAGTTCATATGATCATGTCATCTGCCAAGCATGATATGTCCGCAGGTACGTAGGCAGCAGATAACGCATTTCACATATATATATATATATATAATAATAATGTAAGGGCGCTCACCAATCGCTCTTACGGAAATCACTCGTTCCGTTGTGCCTTATATACAGAACGTGACCTATCTCATGAAACTTGATAACGGAAATTAATGCCAGAATTTCCCAACGTTGTTAACGTTGCCCATTTTGTTTGGTCATCCATTTCATTCAATGAAATGTCCTTGTCTTATGCAGAAATTGTGATTACGCAATTATATCAAGCGGAATATTAGTAAATTTTAGCGACAATGGAGGCTACAATATATTCGAGCAATTACCTATGCTAATCAATGTCCTAGGCTCCGGTTACGCAAATGAGCGACTTTTTTTAATGAAACGTTAGTAATTTACCTGCGAGAGTTTTAATAAACAGATCAAGCCGAACTTGAAAATTTGTTTTATATCCGATGCTAAAGTAAAGGTTATTTTTAAAAAAACCAGATGTTTTATCAATTATTAAAAGCCATATTCGCAGATCTGAGCGATTTGCTCCCTGAAGTGCAGTAATGATGCAGACAGGGATTCCTATTTTTAAATGAGCTCGAATTGGTTTGCCGTTTGGAAAATGTTACCTGATGTCACATAACTGATCATAACCTAGTGGTCATTTTTCAGTTTTAAACATATCAAACATTACTTGTCGTGTAGTCCAGCTCATGCACATATCTGATTCAGAAATGGAACACGCAAAATGTTTTTAGTTTCAACAAAATTTTATTATTTATATCGGCTCTTTGTCGTGCATTCAAAATCGATAAACTGAGTTCAAAAGCGAGGAAAAATAGTTCAAATGAGCGCAATCTATAGACAAAAGTATGTTCGTTCGTTTGCGGTTGATAAATATTGGTATTGTCTAGAAACGTCAAAGAAACGGCCAAAACTGTCAAATTTTTCCTTGGCATCACAGTGCAAAAATGCAAAGTTCACAGAGATCTGTCAACGGTGTGCAATATTAAAGCACTTCTTAAAAGGGACACTTATTAGGGAAGTCTTTCTTATTGCTTGAATGCATCTTAGTGGCCGACTTTCGCTCTGGACAGCCATTCTTTCGAAAATGAAGTTTGATGTTTGAACGACTTCTCTCATGTGACCCAAGCGACCTTCTTCGTGAAAAGTAGCGCCAAACACACCAAATTATCTTATTCGAAGTTTATAACAGACAGGTAATTCAGAATCTGTCTTTATGGACGATCGGGTGAAAGCACTGAAAATCATGCAGCATTCAGAAATATTTTAATGCCGATCTGAAACTCGACGTAATCCAAAACGAAGTAAGTGTAAATTAATTTAATGGAAGAAAAGGTCTCTCTGCAAACACAAAATGGTACGTTTATGACCAGGCCTGTCAGTCCTATTTAAATTTTTTAGGCACCCACCGGCCTCATGGCACGTCGCCTTATGAAAACGTTTGTTTCCACGACGTCCGCATTAATGAAATCAATCAAAATCCCGTTTCTCTTGTTGAAACCCAGATAATTAAACTTAAACGAGTCAAGAATGCCACGAATTCCTAGAAAACTGCTATAAATCTGCACTAAGAATGTAGGCTGTTTACAAACCGCCATATATAAAATTAAACTAATTCGTAAGAGATATCTAGATGTAAGCACCACTGAAACATTATTACTCAGTATCAGTATCAGTTTATTCAGTATCAGTTTATTAAGGGAAATATAGGCAAGCGCCTTTGAACTCCCTCTTGGTTACAAGTCGTCGGAGAAAAACATTGATAAATGGGAAGGTGAAAAAGGGATTTTGTACATACTCGCGGACAGCTGGCAGCTAGTCGAAAAAGAGTAATCATTAATGGTTACGTACTAATCACAAGTAGTATAAACACGTATAAGATGGTACCGGGTTATGTGAGTGGATGTGGGGGTGGTAATTGGGAAGCTTGATGCAGGTCCAGTCTACACTTGAAGGAGATCACACAGGAGGAGGTTACAACATCGGTAGGTAGGGCATTCCAGGCTGCAACCACTCTGTTATTGAAAAAGAACTTTCGTCCATTGGTTCTTGATTTCCCTGCGCGCAGTTTTAGGGGATGACCGCGCAACGTGGGCGTGTTAGCTTGGGTGAAATTATCAGTGGGATCTAAACAACAGTCTAGGCCGTTGATGATGCGAAATGTTAGTATAAGGTCACCACGTAATTGCCTGTAGGAAAGGGGAAACAGGTTGAGGATTGACAGTCTGGTTTCATAGGGCAGTGCTCCCTGACCTTGTGTCATTTTGGTCGCCCGTCTCTGGACCTTCTCCAAGACGGTATAATCCTTGGCAGTCCAGGGTCTCCACGCCTGTATGGCGTATTCTAGATGAGGTCGCACGAAAGTGCCAAATATTTTGGAAAAACAGTCAGGGTCAAATCCCATAAATGCTCGCCTAATGAGTTGCAATGTGGCCGTAGCCGATTTAGCCGCCTTCGCGCAGTGCAGTGTTGGTTTGAGTGAAGATGTAATCCATACACCCAAGTCCTTCTGACTATCAACCTGTTGCAGTTGTGTGCCGTGTAGAAAGTAGGTCCTGGGGCTGGGGGTTCTGAAGCCGCCGAGTTGAAGAAAGTAACACTTGCTTATATTGAAGGGCATAAGCCAGCGCTTCGACCAGTCTTCGAGCCTGTTCAAGTTTGCTTGCAGGTGGTCTGCGTCTGCCGCATCGTGAATAACTTTCCACAATTTTATGTCGTCGGCAAACAGGATGGCATCACAGTCTAGGTCCTTGACGCAGTCATTCATGAAAACGAGAAATAACGTGGGACCTAAGACTGAGCCCTGTGGGACGCCACTCACCACCCTTACATCTGAGGACTGTTGATGCCCGACCTGCACTCTCTGGGACCGTCCAGCCAAAAAGCTCTAGATCCATACAAGAAGGCGTCCACGAATTCCAGCGTTGCGCAGTTTGTTCAAGAGACGTTGATGAGGAACGCTGTCGAAAGCCTTTTCGAAGTCGATGTAGATGGCGTGCACCACCTTGCCTTCATCACGTGCTTTGGTCCAGCGTTCGAGCGTAAAGAGCAGATTCGTGAGGTAGGACCTACCACTTCGAAAGCCGTGTTGGGCATCAGAAAGGAGATGGTGCTGCTCGAGGAACTGCACCAAGGCCTTCTTAATGATCTTCTCCATGATTTTGCTACAGATGGAGGTAAGACTCACTGGCCTGTAGTTATTCGCAGACGCACGACTTCCACCCTTAAAAAGCGGAGTGATTGTAGCGGACTTCCAGTCAGAGGGCAGGCATCCAGTAACAAATGACGTTTGAAAGATCAAGGCTAACGGCTTGGACATTTCGGAAGCTAGTTCCTTCAGCAGCTTGGCCGGGATTGCGTCAGGGCCTAGGGAGGTCGATTTTTTTAGGTTTAGTAACTCATTCCGAACAATTGTTTCAGCGAAGAAGACGGCTTCGAGGGTAGGCGTTTCATCGTCTTCATAAGCGGGTAAGGAAAAAGCAGGTTCACTTGTCACGACTGACCGGAAGAACTGAGAGAGATGTTCAGCCTTATCCCTGTCATCGGAGATTTCCACACCCTCAGCCGTTCGCAGCAGTGGGACAGGATCTTTGTTCCGTGTGCTCTGTCTTATGTAGCTGTAAAGGATTTTTGGATTAATCATGGCACGGTTCAAAAGATTCTTTTCAAAAGCTTTCCTATCTCTGGCGATGAGAATTTTCACTCTGCTTAGGGATTCTGGCGTGCGATCCGTCAGCGATCGTTTCCATAGCTTCCTCTTCTTGTTAACTTCCTTCTTTAAGGACGGAGTCAACCAGCGAGGTCTATTTGTTAGTCTTTTGCGCATGATTGGGCAGTGGTTGGAGATGAGGTTGTGGGCTAACTCTTTGAACTGACACCAAGCCTCTTCGACATCGCCGGAGAGAGTGGATGCCCAGTCGATAGGACTAAGATCCTTTTTCATCTGTTCGAAATCGCCGCGCCAAATATTAGGTCGGGAATCGAGCGGTTGTGCAGGAAGGGAGAATAACGTGTATTCCCACATGAGAACTACATGGTCACTCTGACCCAACGGGGGGAGGCAATTCACAACGTCGATGTTGTCAGACGACTTGGTGAACACAAGATCGAGGCAGTTCATCTGTTGGCCCTCTCGAACTCTAGTTGGAAACATTACGTGTTGTGTGAGAAGCAAGTTGTCGGAGGTACGCAGTAGCTGCTGGCCAAATGCTGCTTCAGAGCAGTCGGCTGAGGCCGAGCTCTAGTCGATGTGAGGTGCATTAAAATCTCCAACAATGAGAGTGGTCGGCCGCGTCGAAAATAATCTGAGCTCCTCCAGCAGTTGGGCATCAGCGTCAGGGTCATTTCTCGGGGGGCGATATACTGTCAAGATATCGAGACTTTGAGAGCCCGGTGCCCTTATGGTCAGCCATAATGCTTCGGTACTACAAGTCAGTTGGGCAGTTTTTTCTGAAACGTGAAAGCCGTTCTTAACAAATGTTATTATGCCTCCACCCCTTCTGTTTTCTCTGTCTCGACGAAACATTTGAAATCCAGGGAGTATGAGCTCTCTATCATCAACCTGTTCGGACAACCATGTTTCTGTTATTGAGATAACATCTGGATGGAGGTCGTAGGTATGGATACGGAGTTCGTCCAGTTTAGAAAGTACACTTTGCGCGTTGGTATACATGAATATGAGTTTCGAGTTCATGCGAGATTTGTTTTCAAACCCGACACGGGCTACTGGGGTAGCTGTGCAGTCATTCGGATCGGCTTGATCCAGAGGGGAGCGGAATGTCGTTTGACAATCCGGTCTTTGTAGATTGTCAAGTTTTTTTCTCCGTTGGTTTGCCGTGTTCTCAATTCTAGGACAAGTTCGCGGCGTTTCATTCTCTCGACAGGTGAGTAGTCCGGCTGAAAAAACACTTCTTTATGGGAATGCTTCAATCGAAAACGCCTGGAAAGTATTAGTTTCGCCTGCTCATTGCTACCAAGGACGATTTTTAGGGGTCGTGGTCGCGTCTTCGGAGCGACATTTGTACGGCTACCAAGACGAAACGACTTTAGGACTGTGACATCTTCTGTTGGTTGCAGCATTTCATTGAGGAGTTTCTGGAATTGCTCTAAGTCAGCAGCGATTCGTTCCCTGGGGTAACTGGCGGAGGACTCTGCGAGGCCCTGAATTATGACACAGTGGTCCTTGTTAAGCATTCCTCTGTTTTCTGCGATTTGGACGTCGCTGGCTGGCCCTATTGCCTCGTCGAATATGACTGGAGAAGAGGAAGGGGCTGCCATATTGGTATTTATGTCCCCGTGAAGTTCGTCCGCGGATCCTGTTAAGACATCATGAATAGTTGCACACTGGGATCTATCAACAATACCTCCCATCAGAGGGCTCTGTGGAGAGCTTGACCCCCATGAATTAGAGGCTTCCTCAGCTCGGTTCTTGACTCTGTTGACATGGGAATTCGCGGTGGCAGCTAATTCCACCCTGGGTCCATAGCCATATGTCTTTGTGCTAACTGATAATCCCTCTAAGTTAGGCTCAGGAAATGAGAACACTGCCTGGGAATTATTAAGGTTGGGCGTCATCTGCCCCTTACTTCCACTTCTTCCGTTGGCACATTTACATTCGTTTCATTTTCCAACCGCTTTTCGGGTAAGGCTAATATACTCTCTTTCGTATTCTGGCGACTTTTCCCTGTGGTGTTAAGTGTCGTCTTCTTCCTCTTATTCTTTTTTTCATCGGAAGCCACGACTTGACTAATAATAGCAGTTGTCTTATTCACCCCATAATTGCTTACTGAGGATTCCTTACGCTGGATGGCTCTCGCTCTACTCCGAGTTAGCCTCTGCGTAGGTAACACCGGGCGGTCCTCTGAAGGAACAGTCTTGTGTATAAGTTCCTTCAGATTTCTTACTTCTTCCTCTAGTTGATGCATCTTGTAGGCTATCTTTTGACAACCATTACATGAATATCCTACCAGATCCTGCGGTGACGAATTAACAAAGCTTTTAACTGAGCTCCCCAGCCGTGCGTCGGTGGTGTAGGGGTTAACGGAGCGAGCTCCAAGTTTTGAGGTCCCCGGTTCAAATCCCAAGTGCGCGTTACTTTGGAACTAGTGCAGACTCCAACATTCTGGATAACTTTTCTATATGCACAAAGAGCGTAGACTTAAGTATGAAGGAAAGGCCTTTTTGACGATCTTTCGGTAGATAGTAACTTCATTAGCTGAATGGGAAGGTATGGTCGAGAAGCTTTCGAGAGCAAAAATTTAGACAAATACTTTGAGGCGATAATGAAACAATGTCTAATAGTAGAAAAGCGACTCAGCCTTTGTAGAAACTTTGGATGAATTGTTCTTCAGATAATCCGACTTTCTGAGCTTGCAAGTATGAGAAAAGAGGAAGGCCGAAATCGGAGTTCTGGGAATGTGCTGCAGGAGACTAGTTGGGAGGATTCAAGCCGAATTCAAGTATAAATTCCGGCAAGCTCTAAGAGCGTACAGTAAGTCCAATCTCGAAGTAAATAAATTCCTCGGAGAGCGAACATTTGAAACCAAATTCGAAACGCGCGTGTTTCGTGTACCCGTTATTGTATTTGTAATTTCATCTTTACTACGCTTTTGGTATTGGAATATACTGTATACATTTAAGAACTAAATTTTCTAAATTACAGACATTTCTGACGTTTTCTGCATATTGCGCTTTTCAAAACAAGTCGACAATTCTAAACGTTGCAAAACTGCCTTTAATATTTCTTTTGTGTTTTTATTGAACATAGACATTGGACGTAAAAATGGTGTCGGTTTGCTAGTGCTTAGCAATTAAACATGAATTTCGACACCTTCTATTACTTAGGTCATCCACTGCATATGCATGTATATATATATATATATCAGCGAGGAGGGACGACAGAGAATGCGGGTAGATTGATACAGCACTGTTTCGGGCTTATTCTGCCTTCATTCAGCCAATCATAACCCTGACCACCAGCAGCTGAGACCAGAAACACAAACATGCGCACAGACGCACCTGGCGCAGTCGGTCCAGCACTGAGGCCTACTAGATGGGTCATAAGCACTTCATCGAACCGAAGTTCATCAGTGCCTCGCCACCTGTCATTCTCTGTCGCTGCAGGGTCTGCAATCTCTTCCCAGTCTCCCCAACGTAGTTGGCTTCGCAGGAGGTACACGGGATCCGATAGACAACATTGGCGGTTTCGCCTCGTGGCAGGGGCGTTTTTGGTCTCATGACCAGACGTCTAATTGTCGCTTCGGGTTTATGGGCGATGCCGATACCCAATGGTTGCAAAATACGAGAAACTGCCTCGGAAACATTCGCAATGCATTGCAGCGCTCGCCAGACTTTCGGCTGATTTGCCGTTGACTTCATGGTTGTTCTGGACAGTCTACTGCTTTCAATAATACTGCGGGGGTAACCGTTGGAGTTGAACATCCGCCGTAGATAGTGGAATTCGGCTATCTTGTCGGCCGGTTCGCTGCAGTGAGTGTCAACTCTCTTGTAAAGAGATCGAACATAGCTTCGTTTGTGACACCGCGGATGATTGCTGTGGTAGGACATGACCTGGCGCGTGTTAGTGGCCTTTCTGTAGACCGTCGTTTTCAGGCTCCCGTTGACCTTGCGATGGACCAGAACGTCTAGAAAGGCGATCTGATTGTTGTTCTCTGTCTCCATGGTGAATTGAATATCGGGAAGAACAGTGTTCAGTAGCGCGTGAAAATTCAGTACTATTTCCCGTTTGAGAACGACGAAAGTGTCGTCCACATACCGCGCCCAAAACTTTGGTTTATATGTTGCGAACACCGACGTCTCTAATCTTTGAAGAATAGCTTCAGCGATGAAACCGGATAGTGGTGAGCCCATCGGCGTACCTTTGATTTGCTCGTATACCGTCCCTTCAAATGTGAAGAATGTTTGGAGGCAGTATTTAAGCAGTTGGACAAGGTGTCCCCGCTTCGGAGTATTGTTTGCCTCCGTGTATTGGTCGTCGAGGAGGTCGCTGACAGTTTCAATTGCCAAATCCTTCGGGATCGAGGTGAAAAGCGAGGTTACATCGAACGACACCATGACCTCGTCTGTGTCAATTTGCAGCCCTTTCAGTCTTTCCAGGAAGTGGACGGATGAGCGGACTGTCGTGTCGGAGCCCGAGGTGAGGCAGTTCAGGCGTCCGAACATCCATTTGGCCACGTTGAATGTGGGTGTCCCGCGCAAAGACACGATGGGACGGAGTGGGGCACCAGCTTTGTGTATTTTGGGCAGCCCATAGAACCTTGCCATGGCAGCATCGGTCGGTTTGGTGGCCAGTCGTTCTGCCCTGCTCATTGCGCCATTATTTTGTAGCCTGGTGAGCGTCGTGTTTATTTGCGTCACCAGTTTCTTCATCGGGTCCCCATAACATTTGACGTACGCATGCCTGTCCTCAAGCAAGGCATTGGCTTTCTGGAGGTACTCGGTCTTGTCAAGTATAACTGTCGATCGCCCTTTGTCTGCCGGTAGGATCACGATACTCTTGTCCGCCTTCAGCGTCCTGAGGGCATCCTGCTGCGCTCTCGGGATGACCAATCGCGGTTTGTGTGTCATAACCAAGGACGTGACTTGTTGCCGAATGAGGTGCTGTGTCTCAGCTGGCTCTTGGGAGTGTTTTAGGACCGACTCAATCGTGGCCACGAGGTTCACCGGGTCAGCGTCCGAGATGCTGAAACCGGCAGCATGCCTGAACCGACGCCTGAACTGCCTCACCTCGGGCTCCGACACGACAGTCCGCTCATCCGTCCACTTCCTGGAAAGACTGAAAGGGCTGCAAATTGACACAGACGAGGTCATGGTGTCGTTCGATGTAACCTCGCTTTTCACCTCGATCCCGAAGGATTTGGCAATTGAAACTGTCAGCGACCTCCTCGACGACCAATACACGGAGGCAAACAATACTCCGAAGCGGGGACACCTTGTCCAACTGCTTAAATACTGCCTCCAAACATTCTTCACATTTGAAGGGACGGTATACGAGCAAATCAAAGGTACGCCGATGGGCTCACCACTATCCGGTTTCATCGCTGAAGCTATTCTTCAAAGATTAGAGACGTCGGTGTTCGCAACATATAAACCAAAGTTTTGGGCGCGGTATGTGGACGACACTTTCGTCGTTCTCAAACGGGAAATAGTACTGAATTTTCACGCGCTACTGAACTCTGTTCTTCCCGATATTCAATTCACCATGGAGACAGAGAACAACAATCAGATCGCCTTTCTAGACGTTCTGGTCCATCGCAAGGTCAACGGGAGCCTGAAAACGACGGTCTACAGAAAGGCCACTAACACGCGCCAGGTCATGTCCTACCACAGCAATCATCCGCGGTGTCACAAACGAAGCTGTGTTCGATCTCTTTACAAGAGAGTTGACACTCACTGCAGCGAACCGGCCGACAAGATAGCCGAATTCCACTATCTACGGCGGATGTTCACCTCCAACGGTTACCCCCGCAGTATTATTGAACGCAGTAGACTGTCCAGAACAACCATGAAGTCAACGGCAAATCAGCCGAAAGTCTGGCGAGCGCTGCAATGCATTGCGAATGTTTCCGAGGCAGTTTCTCGTATTTTGCAACCATTGGGTATCGGCATCGCCCATAAACCCGAAGCGAAAATTAGACGTCTGGTCATGAGACCAAAAACGCCCCTGCCACGAGGCGAAACCGCCAATGTTGTCTATCGGATCCCGTGTACCTCCTGCGAAGCCAACTACGTTGGGGAGACTGGGAAGAGATTGCAGACCCGCATGGACGAGCATGCAAGAGCGGTGAGAAGAATGGATCAGCTCTCGCTGGTGGCGTAACATTGCGCGGCTTTCGACCATGCCTTCGCCTTCCAAGACGCCGAAGTCTTGGGCCAAGGGAGCGATCAAACGATCAGGGAGACGCTCGAAGCCTGGCACACCACAACTACCCCGATTAACCGCTGCGTAACTTTGCCGGCCGCCTATCAAGCCTTACGGGCGAAATTCAATAAGCAGGGCCACCGACGAGGCGTCAGGCCAGAGACGGCAGCAGTCGAACCCAAACCCAGCGGGAACACAGACGGGCATAGACAGGAATCGGGAACCGACGAAACCAGGGGACAACCGGCGACGAACACAAACCTAGGAGACCGCCTTCTGGGTCCGAACACAGACAGACGCCAGCCCCTGGGGAGAGCGCCAGACAGTGACAGGACCCCCCAGCCCGACGTCAACACCAGCATGACAACCACCATCAACACAGTTACGGACAGGTATGAACGGGGCAGCGAGGCGGGAACCCACGACAGTGACAGGCACCCCCAGCCCGACGTCAACACTAGCATGGTAACCACCGTCCACACGGGTACGGACGTGTGCGAACAGGGCAGGAAGGCGAGATGCGCGGAGGACAGACAATGGACAATGCAAACAAGAGCAATGGCCGCGGTCGTCCTGATGCCGCTCCCCTTCTCACACCCGACAAAGAATGAGGAGGAACCGTTGCCGCCATGACAACAAATCGCCAAGCCTTGAGATGCAGCGCGCTGGCAGTCAGTGACACGCCAGCACGAAGAACAAAAACCCATAAATACTGTGACGTGCAGTACGCAAACCACCTCCGATGATGGAAGCTTGATTGCTTTCGAAACGTCAGGCAAATATACCTATGGTTCCTGCGATCGCCTTATTTTCTCAGTTATATCCGGTAACGCGCATTTCTGCTTCAAGCAGCAATATATATATATATATATATATATATATATATATATATATATATATATTGCTAATAGAAGCGAAGATGCGCGTCCCCGGACATAATTGAGAAGAAAAGGCGATCTCGGGAACCATAGTTTTACTGTCCTGACGTTTCAAAAGCATACAAGCTTCCATCGTCGGAGGTGAGTGTGGTATCGCGCCTCACAGTATTTATAGGTGGGTAACAGTCATGTCAAAACGGGTTTTCTTACATATGAAGTCAGGGCGGCAGGGGGGATGGGGCGGGGGGAAGTCCTAGAGCGTCTTTTCGCTGGATGAGGGGGTTACAAAGTGCGTCGAACTCATCGGTGATGACGGAGTCGCGCAGTTGCAAGAAGTGATTAATAAACGGGCCCGGAACCTGCGAGCAACAAGAGATGCCGAGCTGGCGGTCAAGCTCCAAAGCATAAACAAATCATCTCANCAATGAGGAATGGGCGCACACCGATCTATTGGCTTCACAAAGCAAACAAGCTCCGTATGTGTGGCAAAGGTCACGAACAGGCAACCAATTACCAGGCCGAAGTCGGCCAAGTCATAATAGCAGCGAGGAGGGACGACAGAGAATGCGGGTAGATTGATACAGCACTGTTTCGGGCTTATTCTGCCTTCATTCAGCCAATCATAACCCTGACCACCAGCAGCTGAGACCAGAAACACAAACATGCGCACAGACGCACCTGGCGCAGTCGGTCCACCACTGAGGCCTACCAGATGGGTCATAAGCACTTCATCGAACCGAAGTTCATCAGTGCCTCGCCACCTGTCATTCTCTGTCGCTGCAGATCGGGTATTTATCAATCAGGAATGGGCGCACACCGATCTATTGGCTTCACAAAGCAAACAAGCTCCGTATGTGTGGCAAAGGTCACGAACAGGCAACCAATTACCAGGCCGAAGTCGGCCAAGTCATAATAGCAGCGAGGAGGGACGACAGAGAATGCGGGTAGATTGATACAGCACTGTTTCGGGCTTATTCTGCCTTCATTCAGCCAATCATAACCCTGACCACCAGCAGCTGAGACCAGAAACACAAACATGCGCACAGACGCACCTGGCGCAGTCGGTCCAGCACTGAGGCCTACCAGATGGGTCATAAGCACTTCATCGAACCGAATTTCATCAGTGCCTCGCCACCTGTCATTCTCTGTCGCAACGGAACGAGCATGTTCCGTACCCTGATCGGTGAGCGCCCACTATCATAATATATATATATATATATATATATATATACGTACATATACAGTAGATGGGCTGACAAATGAAATGTTAACCGAAATTCCGAACTGCGTTTTCTTTTCAAAATATTAACTAAGTAGTTTTGCAAAACTAATTATCATGCAGCATAGTTCTATAATAATGCGGTTAGTCTACGATACCGGCTTGGGATCGAACTTGTTTCCGGCCACAGGCAAAACCACACGCTGTAATGTATGATTACTTATATGGCATAGATTTTTCTCATTGATTTTCGATGCTTTTCAAAATTCAATTATATCTTAGGAGAAAAGGCAAAAAACTATCCTTTATTTACGAAAGGCTTCGGTGGGGTCCATGAAATTGAAAATGTGCGGGAGAAAGACGGTGTTTATGCTTTTAATTTTGCCTTTTCTCAGCCATAACGGGAGGCGGTCCCGTGTCCTTTTGGATTGGCGACCAGTAGACCCGGCTCAACACGCGGGTGGTCTGAGTCTCAGACTCCTTCCCCCTCCTTCAGTGCACTCCCCTGTCCTCCTAAACCTCCCTGTCTCTCACTACCTCCTCATTCGCCTATGCTTGCGACTCACCTATGTACAAAGACGGACTGTTTTTGAATTCTCTTATTAAGCATCTGTTTCACTTGTATCCCCTTTCCAGATAAATGTACTGGTTCGACGAATGTCTGTCAAAATAACACTTATGCTCGCCAAATGGTCCTCTGAACTTAATGGATGAGTTTACTCTGACTGCAATTTTGCTACCAGTTTGTTAAATCTGAAAAGAAGAAACGGACTACCTTCATAGGCTTTTACGCACTAACTTGTTCCTGTAAAGTGGACCATATTGGTCGTACATGTAGTTGCCTTTTCAAAGGAACGCAGGGACACCTCCCTGCATGCCAAGAAAAGGCTACGTTAAAATCCTAAACAGGGCCATTAATGCGCACAGTGTTGATTCCGGACACCGTATGGATCCCATCGAAGCATTCTGTGTAACTTATAAGGTCCCTCCCAATTACTCTAAGGCATTGGGTCAGCCTCCGCGAACAACAGCAGATTAAAAAAGGTGGTCTTGTGGGCGCGCAACCTGGTACAAGCTCCATGTCTACCGTAGTCAAAAAGTCGGTTAGTTGCATATACCCATTCATGCCTCCTAAATCACTGTCTGTTATTACCCCCTACCCCCTTTTCCCACACGCTACTCTCTGAAAGGAAGAATCGTAGTACTTTCCTCCTAAAGCTTATATTATTTCCTTTCAACCCTTTCCCATATAAATGCATTGGCTTGACGAGAACTTGTCAAACGCACACATTTACTCGCCGACTGGTCTTCTGAATTATACCATGGGAATTTTTGCAACTCCAAAACACTCGGTGATTTATTTCCATCTGGGCTGGAAACCGGCATAAAACCAACATGGTTTAAGGGTTTTGCCAAAACGTGGATTAGAAGAAGTGGTTTCATAACGGACCTTTATCCCCCGTAAGCCTTGACACATTTAGCTGCTTAGCGAGGATATTACAAAATGGCTACAACAACATGGGGTACCATTTAAGTTTCATTATGCTAACAAGCATGCCCAAACAGTCTACATACCGATCTCAGCATGCACACGTATGCTTAGTTGAGCGTATTTTTTAAGTAGAGATACGGCGAAAATAATCGTACATGTTAAGAGTTTCTTATGAAATCCTTTTCTGAAATATTCATTGGAAGCCGGGGTTATATTATTCCGCGTTTTCATTTCGTCTATGAAAGCGGCAATGGCCACAGCTGATAGAATATCAAACATTAAAAATAGCGTGATCCATAGAGAATTCATAAATAAGCTATAAAAAGGTATTTCACCTGCTCAGAGATAATTTTACTGAATGTTTTCAGAAAGTAAACGCCAGAAATGCATTTTTTGCGTGGTCTAAATGTTCTAAATATTGTCCAGTACGTGATCTGTTTAAAGTCCTATGAAATACGGAAAGTATATTGAGAAAAAATATCACCCTGATACTGGCTTGCATGTCGAGATAATTTCTTAAAACCTTTTTGGCGAGAGCACGGCAGATTGCGATGCGTACGGATTCTAGCAGGAACTATTTGGGTGATCAAAAGATTCTTTTAAGCACGTGTCAGCAACCGTGTTTTGCTCGCAGCATCGATTTGCATAGCCTACCTACATCGTTGTTCGTTGTTTTTTACCCCTCTTGTGAGAAATAATAAAACAGAGAGTGAGGGATTCCCTTGGGTATTGAACAAACCTCCAGCTACTCAAGTGGGTGCACCACATTGTGAGGCCTAGACTTCTGAGCACTTGCGAGGTGCTTAAGTGTGAGGGGGGCAATCCTTTATTTAGAAATGTAGTTCCAAGTAAAAACGGACAAACATGGTCGCCTTAACGGGCGAGAGATGAAAGCTTTTTAGAAGTGATGTCATAAAAAGCAACTATGTGTGACTCGTAATCAGATTGCGTAATTCGCGTTTCCTGAACTGTCCTAAATACTGGACGCAACAACGTAATCTGTAAAACCGCTTTGTTCCATGTTATTTTTTTCGCGGTAGAGACAAAACTAGAATATTGGCGAGCAAATATTTTTCGACGCAGTGCATGCATGCATTAGGATAGTGTATAACGAACCCATACACATTCCGCAATCAAGTATTTTTATATAAAATCCTAGTCTGCCCATATTTCATCAGTGTAAATGTTGAGCCCAGGCAATGGTCTCGCAGCGAGTTATGAAGCTTAACTTGTTCAAGCTTGTTGCTGCCAGCTGATAATCTCGACAGCTTTAGCTAACAAGAGACGGCAGAATAATAAAATAGATCAAATCACTGACGAAGGGCCTTGGTTTATCCGAAGTTTCGAATTTCTACTATTCTACATCCCT